TTTGGTATTGCACTACGAAAGAAGAATAGGTCATCCAGTGTGTAGTCATCACGATCGACCTTAGCAATCACTACTTTTGTACCAGGAGGAGCGTCTGTTATTCCAAATTCTAAAGCATCAGCATCTTTCAATAGTCCACCACTGTTTATAAAATAATCCTTTAACTTCTCTTCATATGCTGACCAGGTTCTCTTTAATATACGATTGTCACTCAAGAACACACGAACAAGTTTAACTATCAGTTCATAGTTGAACCATGATACATACTTATCTTGCAAAATGATAAAAAGATCAGTCATTGATTCAATGTCACTAAACTCTTCTCTAACTGCTTGCACTGCAGATGGATTATTTTTTCTGATAGGGCCCAACAGAGCATGAATATGCATTGTAAGATAATTTAAGACTTTATGAAGAAGTGCTGGCTTTTTGAGGAAGGATTCCATTGTCAGTTGTAATGCATCAGCAAACACATCCTGTAACTCATATATCTTCTTTGCCAATGGATGATTTATTTCAGGACGATGAACATAAACTGTATAAAAGAAAATTTCATTATTAATACATGAAAAGGTTATTGGTGTGATGAATAGTTAACATTATTAAATTTAGTAATGTGTTTGATGTGTGCATTAAAAGGAGGCAATATTATTACGTACCCGAGTTATTGTATGAGCTATAAAATAGCTAAAAAATAGCTAAAAATACCTATAAAAAGCTCATAGCCTCATACAATATTGCATAAACTATTTTTCTATCATATTGAAGCATTGAATGATAAATTACCTGTTGCTTTGCCAGTGCTTGCTGGTGACATAGCTACTTCATCTGTTTCTGGAGTGCCACTTTTTTCTATAAAAAATAATAATGAAATAGTAAAAGTACTAAGTGTAGAATTGTTATCAAAAAAGGTATATGTCATACAAAACCATAATTTACGAGAAAAATTATGTGCTAATTTAGTGCATGTGAGACATTATCCTAGAAAAATAATTTCACAAGAAATCTAATATTGCATTTTCATGATCAGATTTTTGTTGTACATGCAGCTAGGAGAAAAGCAAATGAGGAACAAAATTTGGTCAAATTTTAATGACTTCACTACTGAGAATGGGATTTGTACGTAATAATATTCATTGCTTGATAATGATATTCATCTACTATATCAATAGTGTGACTTCTACAATTAATGCAAGCCATTGGCTCAATACCAAAAAAGGAGATAATTAGGCTACCCAACCCAACCTATTCTAATCCATAATGTATTATCATAGATACTGATACACTGACAGTGATACTATTGATGACAACACTCAACTAATATATGTACCTTTTGAACTAGTTGATCCTGCAGGTGGCATAGCTGGTAGAGGATGTTCACGAGCTATTTCATCAGCTAATGCTGGATCACCTCCTCCTTCTTTAACAGCTACACACA